ATTTTTATAACATATATTATATAACTACTTGAAATATAAATATATTAGTTGATAAATAATATTATTTTTCTAATTAGTTTTAAAAATTAATTTTATTACTGTTATAAAGTTAAATATTAATTATTTTTTTTTATACATACAATATGGATGTTAAATCGAAGCTCATTAAAAGAAGATTAATTTGATATATTACATATGTAAAACTAATAAAAAATACAAAAGTTATTAACTTTTAAAATATATATACAATTCAATAGTTATAATAATGAATGATATTAAAATGCAATTAATACATGTAACATGACCATAAATAATCAACATATTTATGGTAATCCGAACCTAATTAGTTTTGGTTTGGATTTAAATTAAAATTTACCAAGCCTAATAACGAAGCATGTAATTTTGCCACATATGATTCCGAAGCACCATAAGCAGCCACATAGGCTCAGTGCGTTCTGGATTAATATATTGGGGGAATATGTTTGGTAAATCCAGTTGATAAGCTAGCTGATAGCTGATAAGCTAGTTTATAGTTTATCAATAATTTTTGAGCTTATAGCTTATGACTTATAGCTGAAAAGCTAACTCATATGATAAAATTGTTTGGTAAAATTAGTTGATAAGCTAGATGGAATAAAAAATTCAACTAATTTATTTGAAAAATTACCTAAAGAATCTTATCAAATAAGTTCGAGCTTTTTAAAGAAACTCGTCCTACCAAACGAGGTTTATTTAAATATAAGGAGCTTATTATAAGCTAATCAAATAAGTTGTAAGCTAACTTATTTGCCTACCAAATATAACCTAATAAAAAACACAAAATACATAACCATCTAAATCATCGAATTAATCAACTATTCCGGTGAATCCAGTTGGAAGAACATCCCAAAAGCCGCTAACTAGGGTACTCTAGAAGCAACAAACTCTCAATCAAATAATACAAAACTTCCAAGAGGAAAATACAAAAGCTCCAACAATAGAAAATATAAAAGCTCTCAACAAGTGAATAAAACAAAAAACACAAGAAAACATAGAAAAAAAAAAAGAAAAACTAGTACTAGACTAAACTAAAGTCTCCCCACTAGTCGAACAACACTCAGACCCTTCACCACTCGAGCCACCACCTAGTAAACAAACAAAGGACAACTACTCAGACTTAGCCCACGACTCAACACAGGGTCGAGAAACTCCCCCTACAACTAATTGGATGTTTCCAAAAAAATTTGAGACATTATATAAAAACATGTTGGAAAATGTATTTCACGATATTATGCACTAACTGAATTGAAGCTGAAATAATTTATTTTACAAATACAATAACGTACACTATAGTTGTTTACTTGTTTAAGCAAGTATGACCACACAATACAAAATTAATAATAAAAGTATAATAAAAGTAAATAAAAATGAATTTTTTATTACTAGACCAATAAAGTAAAATTATATTTTAAAAATGACATACAAGCTTCCATATCTCAAGAAATTGTAATCCAAGTGATAAGGGATCGAGCTTGGACTAGTTTGGGCTTGTTGCAAGCTGGCCCAAGTCATAATTCTTATCAAAACTATCATATTTCTCAAATTGGCCCAATTAACGGTCAAAGTGTGGGCCTATTTATTTACCGCCCACTTACTGCTTAGCCCCTCTAAAACAAAACAGTCTTCATCCTCGATCCGAGTTTAGTCGGAGCAAACAGCTATGGACAGAGAGTGGGGTTCGAAGCCGGGGAGCGGCGGCGCCGCCTCCGCTCAGAATGAGGCCATAGACCGCCGCGAGCGTCTCCGCCGTCTTGCCCTCGAAACAATCGATTTGGCAAAAGATCCCTATTTTATGCGCAACCATCTCGGGAGGTGAAACCCTAGAAAACTCGTAACCTAGCTGAATTGATTAGATTTTTTTTTTTTTTCTTTCTATCTGATATTTGTTTCTCATTGCAGCTATGAATGTAAGCTTTGTTTGACATTGCACAACAATGAGGGGAATTACCTGGCTCATACGCAGGGCAAGCGTCACCAGACTAACTTGGCTAAGCGAGCAGCTCGTGAAGCCAAAGAAGCTCCTGCTCAGCCGCAGCCTCATAAGCGGAACGTCACCCTCAAGAAAATTGGTAGCTAGTTTTTATCCAATTTGCAGTCTTTTAGTTGAATTGCAGCTTGAGATCTTGTTTCCTTTTAATCGGTTGATTTACTGATAGAAGTTGTCATGTACTGTACTAGTTGGCTTGCTCATGCGAGAAAAAAATGTACTTCAGCAAGCAGTTCTACCTTGTACATTGATTCTTCAAAATTTCAAACGCTAACCCTCGAATGGGAGATGAATATTTGTTTTGTTTGTT